CAATGTTGAGGAAAAGGTCCCTGGGAACATTCCTCAACAAAACCCGAAAATGACTTCTTATCGGGATGCAGTAGCACAGGTCAAGGTGGCCATCACTCATAGACTGCATCCAGAGGAAAGGCTATCCGAAGTCCAGATGGGGAAAATCAAAGTAGCCATCATGGATGAAATGGATAGGGTTGTGGACTCTCATCCACAATTCACTGCAGCGTTGCAAAGGGACGGATGGATATCTGTAACATGCAACAATCAAAACACCAGGGAGTGGATAACCAGTGTCTGCAGGAAGATAAAGCCTTGGGACGGTTGCGATGTCGTGCTACTGGATGGCGACAGCATGCCCAAACAGCATGTCTGCGTCACCTACGTACCAAAGGACGAGACAACCGTCAGTCTCTCCAGGGACAAATTTCTAAGTAGGATAGGGAAGCAAAATCCCAGCCTCAAGATAAGTTCCTGGAGGGTGCTGAGGATAGATAAGGAAAAGGACGGGGGCTGCTCCATCACCTTTTCCGTGGATGATTCCGGATTGGAAGATCTACGGAAAGCGGAGTTCCGACTTTTCCTGAATTTCTTCCGTGTTACCGTTCGGGTTAAAGGAAGAAAATCCTCTCAAGGTGCTGGCGGCAGGGCAGGACAAAATAAAAAACCAGTGCCCACCGCGACAACGACGAGCACTTCAGGCCAACCAAAAGAGCCAAAACTCATTGGAAAGTCTGAAGTCGCTCCGAAAATGGCGGTAAGGGAAACGGAAGGACCATCGACCGGCACGCCAAATACAAGTGTCCCGGGGGAACCAAAAGGGCTCAAGCCCATTGGGAAACCCGGAAATGCTTCGGTATTTGCTGTTGGAGGGGCTAGCGTGGCACCTGGGGCGGCAAAAGAGGCTGTGGCAGGGCAGGCGCCCACCAAGATGTGTAAAAAGGCGACAATGGGAGGTAAGGCTCATGTAAAGCCTTTGTCTAAAGGGCCAAAGCCCATAGACAAGAGCCGGAGGAAATAATATGGCTGTGAGGTGCATCCAAATAAATCTACAGCATGCTAGGGCATCTACTGATGTTCTGGCTCATAGATTTATGAAGGATCACCTCGATATCGCCCTTATCCAAGAGCCTTACATAGTGAAGGATCAGGTTAAGGGCCTAACAGGTGAACTATTGTATGATAATACAATTGGGGGCAGGCCTAGGGCTTGCATCTTGTTTAGTAAAAAGCTAACGTATTTTCCCATTCCAGATTACTCTTCTAAGAATCAGGTAGCTGCGTTGGTGAAGGTGAAGTCCTGCGGGGGCTGGACAGAGTTCATTGTGTGCTCATCCTACCTCCCGGGGGACTGTGCCCACCCGGACGAGCAACTGAAGGATCTAGTGGACTTTTGTGGAAGGAGGAACTTCCAACTTATAATAGGAAGTGATGCCAATGCCCACCACACCGTCTGGGGAAGCAGCAATATAAACAAAAGAGGTGAGTGCCTACTTGAATTTATATATAGCAATAAATTAATGATTATGAATGAAGGCAATAGGCCGACATTCATAAATGCAATTAGGGAAGAGGTCCTTGACATCACCCTTTGCACTGAATTTATCGGCAGTAGGGTTGGTGGATGGCATGTCTCAAATGAGACATCCATGTCCCATCATAGGCAGATTAGGTTTGATATCATGGTCTCCGGAGGCCTGGCAGAAGAAATTTATCCGGTGCCCCAATCCACAGATTGGAGTCAATTCGAAACGCTCCTCATGGATGGGATTAGATCCGTTCCTGCTTCTGTCAGAACGGTGATGGATATCGAACTGGCCAGCGAGGCCCTGACGGCGGCTATTACTAATGCCTATCACGGGAGCTGCCGTGCTAAGCCGAGGCGGAGAAATAGGAAGTGCCCGTGGTGGAATGAGGAGCTTTCAAGGCTTAGACTAAAGACCAGGAAGCTATTCAATAAGGCCAAAGCGTCAGGTTCGTGGGAAGAGTATAAGGGCTCACTCACAAAATACAATAAAGAAATTAGGAAAGCGAAGAGAATCTCGTGGAGGGCGTTCTGCAAGGGCATTGATGAACTCCCCAGCAGTGCGCGTCTTCACAGGGTGCTTTCCAAAAAGTATGCTAGTAGGTTGGGCCTAATGGAACGTCCTGATGGCTCCATGACTGAGAACGGAAGGCAGACGTTGGAGCTTATGGCGTCAACGCACTTTCCTGACTCGGAGATTGTTCGGAATCACTCAAATGCAGTCATCGAACCGGGGGCACCCTGGCCCAGGAGGGATGACTGGCAACGATCCCGTCTAGTCTTCACGATGGGCAGGATTAGATGGGCTGTTTTCTCTTTCAGGCCCTTCAAATCTCCAGGTGATGACGGGATATATCCTGCATTTTTGCAGAGGGGTTTCCAACATATCGCTAGAGCACTGTTGGGAATTTTTCGCGCCAGCTATGCGTGGGGTTACATCCCTCAGGCATGGAGGGTGGCTTAAGTGACGTATATTCCGAAGGTGGGTAAGCGACCAAGCAACCACCCAAGGTCTTTCCGTCCAATCGGCCTTACTTCTTTTCTATTGAAAGCAATGGAAAAAGTGATTGATAGATTTATACGGGACGGTGCACTGGGAAGCAATCCCTTGCGTGAATCTCAATACGCCTATCAGTCGGGAAGGTCTACTGTACTCGCTCTGCAGAGTCTGGTGGGGGTCCTTGAAAACTCACTGGAAGTGCGGGAGGTAGCAGTTGGCTGCTTCCTTGATATAGAGGGAGCTTTTGACAACACCCCATATCATGTCATCTGTGAGTCGTTGCACAAACGAGGGATTGATGCGACGACTAGCAGATGGGTCAATCGGATGCTACAGGATAGGATTATTAAGTCCACCATAGCTGACGATATACTCTTCATCTCCGCTGCAAAAGGATGTCCGCAGGGCGGGGTTCTTTCGCCCCTCCTGTGGTCCATTGTAGTGGATGATCTAATAGCTGCTCGCAGGGGCTCCGGGGCGCGTGTCTGGGGATACGCTGACGATGTGGCCTTCGTCGTGCGGGGAAAATTTGAGAGCACTATTTCTGATCTTCTACAGCAAAATTTACGTGTTCTGGAAAGGTGGTGCAAAGGCGTTGAGTTAAATATAAATCCAAGCAAGAGCACTTTGGTCGCCTTCACCAGACGCAGAAGCAGGGACAGATTAACGAGCCCAATTCTGTTTGGTGAACGTATTAGTTACTCGAGGGAGGTGAAGTATCTGGGGGTAACCCTGGATGATCGTCTCTCTTGGAATACCCATATCGATAGAGTTATCGGGAGAGCTACGGCGGCCTTGTGGACGTGTAGGAGTTTCATCGGGGGGACCTGGGGAATTGGTCCCAGAATAGCACTGTGGCTATATACGACCCTTTGACCCGTATTGCACAGTGTTCCAGGCCGAAATACATGCAATAGAAATCTGTCTGAGAATCAATTTGGAAAGGGGGTATAGAAACCGCACCATCTATGTGTTCTCAGACAGCAGGGCTGCACTGCTGGCGCTCCGTTCAGCTCAGGTTACATCCAAGCTGGTCTGGAGCTGCCTTGCTGCACTTATGGAATTGGCATCGGAAAACAGAGTGATGCTCATTTGGGTGCCGGGCCATAGTGGCCATGCGGGCAACGAAGTTGCCGATGAGTTGGCGCGGAGGGGATCTGGTGCTGCCTTTGTGCAGCCACTGCCTTTCTGTGGTCTGCCTTCTTCCGCCGTGGGGGCCAGGCTTGCCTGCCTACTCGCGGCGGAATGCAGTCGTCACTGGCGGGACACGAAAGGGTGCCGTCATGCGAAGGTGTTTGTTCCGGCGTGCTCCGGCGGATTCGCTGCGGAGTTGCTGGGTATGAGCAGGAGCCGGGTTCGCACTATTGCGAATTTCTTCACGGGGCACTGCCCGGTGAAATACCACCTGCACAGGCTGGGTAAATCGGGCTCCCCCCTGTGCAGATTTTGTGGGGGTGGCGATGAGACCGCCGTGCACATTCTCTGCGACTGTCCGGCACTGGCTGTTCGGCGCCGCAATTGTCTTGGACATGGGTCCCTAAGTGTTCGGGAACTATTGTCCAACTCCCTTAGGGTTATCGCCGGCTTTGTGATTGGGACGGGGATATTATAGACGGGAGGGTGGGGTGGCTACAATAAGTCAAAAATGGCTGCGGTGGCTTGGGGGGATGCTCCTGTCCCACTCGGTTCCCTTAGAATCTACGAATCTACGAATCTAGTTGTTTTCTTCCGTTGCTTATCGCCAGATATTTTACAAAAAATTTTGCGATGTTAAAGGAATATTCGGGTTCAAACTACGGAGCACGTTTTGTTGTTTTGACAAAAAATATATGTTGTTTTAACAGTATTTTCTGTTGTACAGAAAAATTTTTAACGGAATAATTTGCTGCAACAACGGACAGTATGCTGTTGAAGCTTCTTCTTTTTAACAAACTGGGTTCCGTTAACCTAAAATATTTTTACAAATATTTCCATTGTTTTGAAAGAAATAGTTTTTCAAGAGTACGGAAAGTGTTTTGTTGATTTAAAGAAAACAGTTGTGCAGTGAGGGAAATTTTGCTGTTGAATTTTAGTTTTTTAACGAACTAGATTCCTTTAACCCAAAAGATATTTACGGATATTCCCATTGTATTAAAGGAACTTATTATTGGAAAATCCCTTTTCATAAAGAATTATTTGAGGTTGAAAAGTACAGTTCAAAGAACTATATTTTCTTGAATTTCAGGATGTTGTTTTTTAATTGAATTTGCACTCTTTGCCTTGATGGAAACTTTTCTGTTAATACAAGACATATGGCCACATAATACACTTGTTTACAAAAATAAGTTATTTTAGTAATTTTTGTTTTTTCATTTTATATTTTCATATTATAACTGAATGAAACACCTTTAGTTTGTATTTTTAAATAATAAAATTTGTTTTCAATATTTACTAAGATTTATTGAATATTTTTTTCTGAATCACTTTTCGTATATAAAAACTTTTTAAGATTTTCTATATTTGGATTTTTTTTATCACGACCAATGTCTACTCCAAAAAAAAAGGTTTCAATAAATATCCACATATTTCAGCAATAATTCGGATAGTCAATGTTGAATATATAAAACGATTTGAATAAAATGTTTGGCGCTTTCACAAAGTTTTCAACTTCATATATTATGTTATATATACAAACATATTATTTAGATGAATCCCAGACATCCTTTCCTAAGCATAGAATGCAAGGCTGAATCATTTCTTTACTAATAACATGTGCATTTGGTTGTTCATTTATAAATTTAAAAAATGAATTGACCGAGTCGTCTATTGAAGCCTTTCTTATTAGCTTAGAACTTCTTATAACTTTCGGTTTCAATACATAATGTATCAGGTATATTAAATAAGCATCCTTTGTTGCTGTAAAAAAATAAAAGAGATTTATTCCGGTTTAGAATTACTGATTGTTTTAAAATTTTATGGAAAAAATGTAAATTGTGTAGAAAAATAACAATGATGTAATTATAAATGCAATATATTTCATAGACTTACATTTTGTTGTGTCCCTTGTGTAGCTTCTCGTTTCTAACTCCTTCTTATATTTGAGTGATATATTTTCATGAAAATTCCCCAATTTAAATAAAACTTTTTGTCGCCTTCTGTCCAAAAATAATGGAAATCTATAGTTTTCTATAAAAAGAGAGTAAAGTCTATTTGTGATTCAAATATTTTTATTTTTTTTCCAGCTTCAATCCTTTGCAAGTTTTTAACATCGGCCGTTCATTTATTATTTCACGAATATTCTCACAATTTAAAAAATCTTTTTTTTATACGAAACAGATCATTCCCATTTTTTAATAATTGATATATCACCTGAATTGTATTTTAGCCAAGCTTTTATTTCTCGTGCTTCTGTCTCTGTAATAAAAGTTTTTTATAGTTCAGATTTTACATTCTACTGTACCATTTATTTCTGCTTCTACATTTTTATATAAACTTAAACACAATAATCAGATTTAATTTTAACTCAAGGAGGTTCTTCTTTTTTTGTACAATCTGTAAGGAAATTTACCTGTTAATTTTTTACCTGTTGATTTTTTACCTGTTTCTTTGCTATACCACGCATTCTAAAACAAAATAAAAATATACGCTGTCGAACTTTCATTGGCTTTTTCTTATTTTTAAAGAATTAAATTAAATAACTTTGTCTTACTTCTACGTGAAATATACATATATGATAGAAGACAAATCGCTTCGAATTTCACTTAGAGTTCTTCACATTCTATGTCAATTATATCAGATTCTGGTATTGCATCATCTTCTTCTAAGTAACTGTTCCTGTATTTGCTTCAGTAAAATATATAATTGAATTATTTAAATGAATTTTTATATGAAATTAAACAATATTAATAAATTAATATTATTGTGAATTCTTGTCATATGTGTTCGAAAGCTGGAAATATATAAAATCTTCTGGTTACAATCCAAACATATTTATGATATGTACTTTCCGTATTGCATTTATGTTATTGTATTAAATTTTCAAAGTATAATTTGATTTCAAAAAATTTTTTCAGGCACTTAAAGCAATTTATGATTTAACTAAGAAAACTTAAATTGATAAGTGAGTTAATAGAACAATAGATTTTTTTGTAATAACCGATATATGAAGTTATTCAAGCCTTTAAAAACTTTAAAAATCCCAAAAACTAAGTCTCACAAATAATATTTTTAAAAAAATACAAGTTTTTCCAATTTGAATTTGATTTTTTTTTCAGAAGGTCAACCATTTTAAAATAACAAAGGAATTACTTAGAAAAATATTACAAGCATTTATACGAAAACCGTACATTTTTTAAAGAAACAAAAAATGTACATATTTAAATTTAAAATATGTACATAATAATAAGTACATATGTACATGTGTTAGTTTAAAATTTTGAAACTATTTGATGCGCTTATATTACAGCGACAAAAACGAAACGTTACATACATACATATGTATGTACATACATCTATTTCTTTAGGCTAATATTCTTTATGTACATATATAAATATGATGGTTTCACTTTTGTAAATTTTTAAGAATTGTGCATATAATATAATTGTGCATATAACTTACCAAAATAATATATCTGCAGTCTTGTTTCGTAATGAATTCTTTTCTTTGCTTATTCACAATTAATATTTAATGTTTATTAATCAAATAATTATTAAGTTTTCTTCTAAATATTTTAATTTTTTTTAATTTAAAATATATTAATTTTTTTTAACTTTTTTTATACATATATAAAAAAAAAATCTTCCGCAAAAAAATTTAACTACTTTTTCACTACAAATTAAAACTTGTTTTAACTTGGAAAATATTGCAGACATTAAATAAACTTGAGAAATAGCGAGTATTCCTTTGAAAAATTGTATTAACGAAATCGTTTAATTTCTTATTAATATGATACTTATCAACAAAATTTTTAATTATTACATCCAACAAAAAAAAGTTAATTATTATTGATAATAATAAGTAACTATGGACATAATTTATAATAGAAAGCTTCTTAATTTTATCTCAATGAAGCTTAGTATTAAATGAAAGCTTTTTATATCTAACAAAATATATTTTAATAACTTTAAAAATTTTAAAAAAACTGCTTAATAATATTTTTTCTACAAATGGAATATTACAATTTATGTACATATTTAAATGTATAAGTTTTGAACGTTACTTTTTAGCACTTTTCCAAAAAATTTTTTGAAAAAAAGTGCTTATTAGTTTCACTCTGTCCGTCCGTCCGTGCGCCTGTCCGTGTGTCTGTTTACAAAACTTCTACATCCTTGAAGATAGAAAGCTGAAATTTTGTATGTACGTAGATCTTTGCTAGAAACTTATTTCCGTAGAACAAAATTTTTACCTATCTCCCCCCGTCTAGAAGTTATAACCCCCCCCCCCCCCCAAATCCCTAAAAATGGCCTTTTTTAACTATTTGTTGCAAAGAAACCATAAGCATTTTTCAAATTTTGCAAACGCAGAAAGGCAGTAGCCTGCTTCCTCCAGCGCGTAATGCTATAGTTAACTTTAGAAAAACAAAATGGCCGTTCAAATTTATCGTTATCTAAAGTCTTTTTCTTCCAAATTTTTGATTTCGTTTTTCTTCTAGACCACAGCTTGTAGAAGCTTAAAATTTAGGGGCTTTTAGACATTAACAAATAGTTCATTTCCTTAGAAGAAAATTTTTTTCCATCTCCACCCCCTCTCAAGTTATGGGCTCTTGAAATTTGTAAAATTTGAATTTTTGACACCTTATATTTCCGAAACCGCAAGCTTTTTCAAATATCTATAAACACAAAAAGCTAACTGTAAATTCCGTGACATTAAAAAATATAATTATTTTTCTTAACTCACACAATTAACCTTTGAAGTCGAGTATTATGTTAACCCCTCTTTAATTAATTTTTGCTTTATTTCAAAGACTGCATAAATTGTTCATCCTAAATATATGCAATCCTAGAAATAGTTTTGTATATGAATGAAAATAATTTTAATAGTGTGATAGGTATACATAGATTGTATTTAAAAGCAGAATTTTCACTTGTTGAAGGGAAAAGTGCTACAATACAAACCATTGGTTTGACCCAACTTTATTTAAATATTAATTTTATTTAGAAAAAAGGAAACAAATAAAAAGAATTCATTTTATTCTTTTATTTAATCTTTTATTACTAAAGTCGATGAAAACAAAACTTAAACTAAACTTTTTACTTTCTAAAATCTTATTATAAAAGTATTCAAAAATCAAATCGATTTTTTTTCAATTTCTTACATAGTAACATTAATTTGTTAAAACAAGAAAAAAACGAGAAAAAATAGAGTTGACCTTGTCAACTCTGTGATACCCGTACGAATTTGTTATCCTGACTTATATGCCATAACTGACTATAAGACAGACTATGACTTTAAGTTGCCGTATTACCATATTAGTTTATGCAAAATTTCAGTACTGTGTTCTTCAAAGTACTGTGTGTAATTCAACTATTTTTATCATGCACATTGGTCCTATTTATATACTCACTTGTGTGAAATTTCAATACAACAGGTTTTACAGTTTCTGAGATATAGCCAAATAAATTTTGAAGTTGTATGGCAGCTACCCGAACCAGTACCCCGATAATGTCCAATTTTTAATTGCAATTTTTTTATATATCTCTCCTGGGTAAGATAATATGTTTTATTTTTGAAAGATATAATATCAGAACTTGGAATATCAACTAGTTCAAACTTTGTATTTAGTAATCCAAATATTTTGTATTTAATAGCCTTTTCGGTGCTCAAAAGTTGTATTGCCAAAACAAATACTAATTTGTTATCATTTGTTGTTGCTAAGGAACTCTTAAGATCCTGAATTTTAAAAACGTCGATATTATAAAGATCTATTCCCTCTGGTGTTAAGATTGCTCTGCTCATTATTTGGTGTTTGGAGAAGATTACGTTTTCTTGGATTTTCTCAATTTCGGCGCTTAAAAGATTAATATTGGTAAGTATCTGCAAGTATTGCAATTGTTTGGTTATATTTTTATTTTCCATTGAAATGTGATTTAAAAGTTTGTCAATTAATATGTGATTTTTGTTTATAGTTTTCTGTAAAATATTAAGATTGTTCTGAATGTTGCCGTTAATTTTTATTTGGTTATTATCATTTGTTATTAAATTATGGGTGTTTTGTTCAGAGTTTTTCATATGTTCTTCAATTTCAATTTTATCGTCTTCGTCAATGATGAACCAACGTTTATCAATGCTCTTTTATGTCTATAAGGAATTAGTGTTTTAGTCGTATGTTTAATTTTATTTATTTTGTCAGTTAAAGTTTTTAAGATAACGTCGTCTTGTGATAATTTGTATGACTCGTTTATATAGGATTCTAAAGTTTTAATAGTATATTCGATTTCATTTAAATCGATAATATGAAGAATTTTAATATAACTTTCAATGATTGGAACTTCTTCCTGTTTGATCGTTGTAAAACCAGATTCTGTATCAAGTTTTTCTAATGTGATAATTGCAGTACTACTGGGTAAAATCATGAAGGCGATTATAGTAATTTGAAAAAGTATTCTAAAGATGACTTTAATTTGATGGATTACCTGAAAAGAATTTATACTTTCTTTTAATTCTTGTAGGGTGTAAATTTTTATTGTTAATATCAGTGATTTTATTTGTGTATTTTTTCACTTTAATTTTCTTGTAGCGAGGGTGTTCTTTATAACGAACTATAGCCGGATTTTTTATTAATATTTCCGATTCGTTTGGAATTTCGAATTGTATTCTATCTTTATTTAATTTAGTAATAATTTTTTCTTTATTTTGATGTAACCTATCTTTAATTTCTTGAAGATTTGAAATTCTATTATTAATAAAATCTATTGGTTTAATTTTAGTTACCGAATGAATAGAATTATTATAAGCTTCTACAGCTTTTAGAATTTTGCTTTCTGTATCTAAATTTGGTTCCGTTAAGGATAATATTCTAATATGTTCAATAATAGTTCCATGAGCCCTTTCTATATCTGAATTTCCTGTATGACTTGTAGGCGAAGTGAAGTGAACTTCTATATTTTTAAGTCTACAAAAGTCTTTGATATTTAAATTATCAAACTCATTGTCAAAAATATATTTTAAAGGCTTACCAAATAATGAATTTCTTTGTCTTAGGGCCTGAACTAATGTTACACTATTTCTCTCATTTAATTTAGCAATATAAAGATGTTTCGTGAACTTATCAATTGTGGTCAAAAATACTTCTTTTTTTAAATAATAAGTATCGATATAAACTAATTGATTCGGCTCAGAAGGTGTTTCGATTATATTAAAATTATATTTGATAGGTTTTCTATCGTATTTAGCTAAATTACAAACATCGCAATTATTTACGAACTTATAAATAAAATATTTTGATTTTGGATAGAAATAACGATCTTTGACTTCATTAAAATTTTCTAATATTCCACGATGATTAGTTTTTTCGTGAAAATCTCTTATAATATTAATGAGATCATCCTCATTTTCTACATCTTGATCTAATTTAGTACATTTAATTAATTTAATTTTTCTATTATTACCAAACAATTCAATTAATTTTTTCTGTAAAATATTAAATTTACTATAATCTAATTCGGAGTAAATTACAGTTATACCTGTAATTTTATTGTTTTCCTCAAAATATCGTTTAAGTAATTTACATTGCATAAATTTTATTCAGATATAAAAATTGTATAATATTTATTATATTTCACTATTATTTCGCTGGTTTTATTTTTTACAAGGTGAATCTGTTTTAAATATTTATTAACGATATTTTCTACAATCGCAATGTGGTCGTCCAAATCTTCGACGCCACTATGAATTGCTATATCGGGTTCAATTTCCAACTCATCATTAAGTTGCAATATATTAATTTCAATTTTATCGAAATTGAATTCATTTAATTTTATTCTCCATCTTTGTAATTTGGAGTTGGGTTCTTTTAAAGAGTTTAACCAAACTAGGGGCCTGTGGTCTGTTTTTATTGTAAATTTAACGCCATAAATATAGGGTCTAAAATATTTCGTAGCCCAGACGATCGCTAGCAGCTCTTTCTCGATAGTGCTATAGCGTGTTTTATGATCGTTTAACGTTCTACTTGCAAACGATATAGGTCGCTTGCATCAGTAGTCAACGTAAACTTTTGGTTAAAATTAGGATATTTTAATATTGGATGGTTTGTAATAAGTTGCTTTAATTTTTCGAAGGCAGCGATGTTCTTCGGATTATCAATTTCGGTTTTATTATTCTTTTTCAAGCAATAAGTTAAGAATTGAGCAATTTTTGCATAATCCTTTATAAATTTACAATAATATCCCGTAATGCTTAGAAAACTTTTTATTGATTTACGAGTATTCGGTAATTTAAGATTTTTAATAATTTCAATTTTTTTCGGATTAGGTTTAATTCCTTTATCGGTGAGAAGATGCCCTAAATATTCCGACTCCTTGGAAAAAAATAGACATTTATCTATTTGAAGTTTTAAATTAAAACTTCTAAGTCTCTCGAAAATTTTTGTAATAGCGTTTTCATGTTCTTGAAGAGAAGTACTGAATATTAATATATCGTCAAGATATACAACACAGTTAACGTTTTTGAAATCGCGTAAAACATTGTTAATCATTCTTTGAAATGTTGCAGGAGCATTCTTTAGTCCGGATGGCATCCTAACAAACTCGTAGTATCCTTGGGGAGTTGAGAAAAACTTTTTTGTTGATCTTTTTCGTCTACAAGGATCTGATGAAATCCTTTAGCGAGATG